ATCCCCCCACTGCTGCCAATTTGCAGGCAGCCTCCGAAGGCCGGGAGCGATGAATTACAGTTATTAGCACTATTACTACCATTATTCTCGTTATTGTTATTGTTATTATTATTATTTAACAGCCTTTTCATTGCCTGGCAAAATCCAACGTGACCTCTTGGCTTGAACGAGTCAACCCGAGCGCGCCACGACGGCGAGAGAAAAATCATAACAATAATAATAATGGATGGAAAAAAACACAGGAGGAAAAAAGTTCGAAGCAGGGAGAGGAGCTAAAACCAGGCAATTTTCTGCAGGATGGAAAGAAAATAAAGAGGCATGACTGGAAGGAAACCCCAATCCACAGCACTTGCCTGAAAACCCAGATTTCTCCTTCCCCCCCCCCCCCCCCCTTTTTTTGAGGTTGGGAGGGTCTGAGATTTAAAGTCACTGGCCACGTCGTGATGTCATAAAAATCTGGAGCTGAGAGTTATCTTTAGGTTTGCTTAAACTTAACTTAAGCAGTAACCTGGTGCACATGGGATCCATTGCACATCGTCCCAGCATTTTATTATCCTCATTATTATTATTTTGGGGCGGGTTTGCGGGGAGATGTGGGGATAAAATAAGTCACCAGACATAAAAGTAAAACTAATTCACACTGACTGGTTTATTGAACACTGGGACTTTCACATACACACTAAAACTCTTTATTGCAAGTTTACAATGATCATGTAAAATCAGTCCAAAAACACAAATAACCACGACAAAAAACCCTAGCTACTGACTTTTTAAAACCTTCTTCTGCTTTTATTTTTTAGGTATGTCACTCTTTCTTTCTCTCTCTCTCTCCCGCTCCCCTTTTTCTTCTCAATTTCTCAGCAAAGACTCGTCCACCCTTGTGTGCCGTTTCGTAGCTGCTTTTTGTCTGCCTTTTTTTTCCCTCTCTAAACCGTGATTTTTTTTTTTTAAGCTTTTTTTTTTCCCCCACATTGCTACAAAAGAACTTCGTAGCTCCTTCGCTCATTGTGCATTTGTGATGCAGAGGGGAAAAAAACACCTACATTCGCCTTTTTTGTTCGGTTGGTTGGTTTTTTGCCGTCAATATTATCATCGTTCCTTCGTTAAATTCACCCAACAGAAGATTTACCTCTTCCTCCCCCCACCCTGCCCTCCCTCCCCATCCCCCAGCTTTAAAAAATAAATAAAGCCCTGAAATGGCGTAAAAAAACCCCTGCAGGTACAGACACCTGGCCTCATGCTATCTGACATGCACCTAAAGCCCGTGGTCTTGGGGGAGACCCGCTGTTTTTTATACGCACAGGAAAAATAATAATAAT